TCTGATATATTCTCATCAATGTATTAGTAATATTTTCATCACACAGAAAAAGTTGATAGATAAAATTTCCGACCTGATCGTATGGTAATCAAAATTAATCCGATAATCAGTGACAATTTGGTGAGAGAAAACTAATCGAGACCATTTCAAGAAGATAATATATAAATTGTTATCATAATGTTCATGATAACAGCGATTTTATCAATAGTCACATGCTATTAGCATCATGATATTAGGTTGAAGATAAGATTATCTGTTGACAAGATTAACTTGATAAACTACCAAATAGATAACGATAATAACGATGGTTCCAATTGGAGCAAGAATAATTCAGAGACAGATAAATTTAACCCTCTCGATGTCCAGAAGTTTTCATATCAGATGATATTGGATGAGAATGAATTTCCTATTGAGATTATAAATCAAACAGTTTCCATGGTTGAATCATCATGATGTTAACAATCAATTTGATGCAACAAATTATCATGATAATGGTAATAATTTCAATTCTCATGATTATCAACAATTAAATGTCATTAATATCAAATTAAAATTCAACTAAGCAAAATGTTTTCACATGACAAAATAAATGGATACCATTAATATCACCATGGAGTCAACAATGAAACCGGCAAGCAAAAGTTGAAAAATCATGTTTGTTATAATATCTTTGAATGTTGAAAGTTATCATTAAAATATCAAAAACATGATAATTCATTTGAAAACATTTTGATAAATATTCAAAAGTAAAAACTATTATTATTACCATGAAAATGTTTATAACCTTGTTATTAAATCATCGTCAGGGTATTAATGATACACAAGAAACCATGTAAAATGTTATCATGATATTTGTGGTTTCTTTTTGCAGGTTGATAAATGTCGTAATTTAAATTGATAATAATTCATGTTTGTCTTTTTAGTTCTTGTCTCATGGTAATCACAAAATTTTCAATACTCAGAATGTTGAATATTTAAATTGTATCCATGATAAAACTGTTTCATTGTTTCAACTGATTTGGAATTCAATCAAAATGTTACAACTAATGAATCTTCACCAGATATTAATTTCATCAAAACTCAATTCCAAATGAATGGGAGAGTAAATTTTTCACAGTAATGAAAAATTCAATGATAAATAATAAAGGAGGAAGAAAAAAGTTATCATGAGGATGAGAGAGAGAGAGAGGGTATGCGGATGCTAAGGGAAAAGGCTGAAGGCAATGCGATGAGTTATTGTGAAAAAGTGGTAACAATGTTTATATTATCATGAGTTCGGGATCAAGTTTATTTAGAGTTTGGTTTCCTATTCATGGCCCTGAGCTTTTGACTTGAGAACTTGGAACAGGACATGGAACTGGGATGAGAATGAAAGAATGAGAACTGAGTATTATTACATTGAGAAAAAAGAATTCAGCAAACACAGAAACAAGAAAGAAAAAGAGATGAAGGCAGAATTTGATGGAAAACTGAAAAGGTAAAAGAAAAGAAAAAAATATTTTCATCATCATTCTCATTCTCATCTTGCATCTTATTCTTTCTCTCTCTCTCTCTCTCTTTTCATTTTCTATTTCATCATTTGTCTTCTTCACTTTTCTCTTTTATTAGAATTTGGTATGTTTTGTATTCAGTGGAAAAAGAGAGTGGGTACACTTTCAGCGAAGGTGGAAGGTGGGTTAAAATAGAAGAAGTGACAATAGAAGCAGCAACTTCATCCCTCATCATCATCTTCTCTTATTAAAGAAAATACCATTCATCTTATGATTCTCATTCTCTAAGAAGAGTAAAATCTCACCCTAGATTGTTTTGTTCTCAATTCTATCTGAACAGAATATCGATGAAAAAGTAGAAACATTGAAAATTCAGAGAAAAATTCTGCAAGAAAATACCCATTCACCTCTGAACACAATTCACTTGAATTAAAATCTTACAGAAAATCAAGCTAATCCAATAATTTGATTCTTACAACAAATTTTGTGACTTCAAATAATTTCAGTATCACGACAACAACAACACAAAAGAATCAAAATTACCATAACAATTAGAACACATCAGAGTCTAAAAGTACGAATAGAAAGAGAGAAAACTTAAAATCGGCTAAATAAAATGTTTCCTATCAAAAAAGGAAAAGTTCATTACATGGATATTTTACAGTGTTTCCCGATTGAAGAAACCAAACTTTCAAATGAGAAAACCTTTTTTTCATTTGAAGAAACCAATTTTCATAACAAGAAACCAAACGTTCATTTGAAGAAACCCCAATGCTTTTACTCGTATATCAATTGTCACCAATTGGTTGAGATTTTGGACCTTAATTTTTCATTAATTAATTTTTGTCGAAAATCGGTCTAAAAATGAAGTTTCACATTAATTGTGCTTGTAGATTTGATTTAAATTCAATTTTGAGTCGAAATTAATTAATTAATCACAATTAAAAATCAATAAAAATCATTTTGGTTTCTTCAAATGAAATCTTGGTTTCTTCATTTGGTGGTTTGGTTTCTTCAAATGAAAAAAAGGTTTTCTCATTTGAAAGTTTGGTTTCTTCAATCGGGAAACACTGTAATATCGAAAATGATGATCATCGTCACGATGCGAATATGGAGAAAAAAATAATCTAAAATGATAATAACCAAAGAGAAATGAAAAAATAGATTATCGAAAATGAGAAATTCTAGTGAGTCAGAGAGAGAGAGAGAGAGAGAGAGAGAGAGAGAGATGATGTTTGATAATAAAAAATAAAGGAAGCGGAATAATGGAAGCTTGTTACCCAAAACCCATAACATCATTGGTATAATTTTCCGCCCACCGAACACAAAGGTTACACCCAAAAATTACCTGATATTATGATTATCATTTCAGTGGATTATCATTGTTGCTCATCTTCTGGTCAACACCTTAGTTTTTGTAACCACAATTATCATGATGAGGATGAGAGAGAGAGAGCAGAAAAAATTGATATCATTTTAATCAGAGAAAGAAACAAAATATTATTTTTCTCATCACTTTAATTTCCATGGGAAACCCACCAGATAAAAAGATATATGAGTTTTATTATCAAGGGTAGATAATAATTCAGCTATTAAATAGAGATTCAATTAAATTAAAATCTTTGGGTAATAATAATAGTAAATGTAATTAATTCAATGGAAATTAAATTGTAAATGCTAATCAAGGATTATTATGATTAAGAATATATATTTTGTTATCATGATCATTTCATTTTTTTGTGAATAATATCGAAATTTTTTCCTCGAATAAAAAATAAGTACATATAAAGTTTTCCCTCTTCTCCTTCATGGCTTTTCTACCTTTCTCCTTGTGATGGTGTCGATTATGTTCATTTGTAAGTTCTACTTTCACTCTCTCTCTCTTTGACCCCCTCAGGCTATTCAGAGACATGAATTTATTCAATCTCTTTACTTTCCTCAAATGTAATCAAATCTAAACTTGTCCCATGTCAAGTTACTCACAATAAAGTTCTGATTAGATCAGAGAGAGAAGAGAGAGAAGAGAGAGAGAGATTCAGAGGTTGAATTAATATCATCATGATGATGGTAAAAATTTATATCCCAGAATAAGAATCATTAAGCTTAATGTGTTTCTTTTTCACTTTGACTCCAAGAAATATTATTCATTACATTTCCGGTTCAATTTTACTTCCTACCAAAAAAGGATTCAGTTCAGTTCTGGATATAATCATTATCAGCTTCATGTTATTTATTTTTGATTTATCGTTTGATTTGTTATGCTAAAAAAAATACATATAATACTAATAACAAGGAATAGCTATTAGTTGAAGGCAAGAGAATATAATATCTACCATGAATCTATCATGAAATTCAAGTTAAATTCGTTCATAGTCTTTGATAATTAATATATTCAGAATCAATCAGAATATACGTTTGCATATCTGGAAATGTTACTAGGACTGATTTTTGTCTTAATGAATTTCCATCCTGAAAGAAATGAACTTTTTTCTTTCTCGAAAAAAAAATTCATAACCATCAAAATCTTTAGATAATATAATTTTCAAATCCATTGAAATATTTTCTTCACAGAAATTCAGAAAGATACACAAGATGAATATTCAATTTCATGATAAAAGGAAGGAGAAAAGTTATCATGAAAATGAATCAAGAATAAAACTGAAACATTTTCAAAAGTTCAACTGAAAAGATAAAGTTATCATATTCAATATCTCATGTAAATCTAATATTTATCACCAGACAGTTAAAGGTGTTGATATCATTCAGATCATATTTCAGTTATGAAAGACATGAGAGTACATGATGAAACCTGAGATAGACTCATGAAATGAACTTTAAAATGAATCAAGTTGAAACTCAAATCAAAAATAATTTGTATTAATTTCAATCAGTAAATCAATTTAATATAAAGACTGATTGTCTTAAGGTAAATACAATCTAGTAAAAGAAAAGTGAATCAACTTAATTGCCTTCGGGCTATTAAAAGATAATCATTGTTATCATATAAAGAGTCGAGAGAGGGAATGGTAAAGTAATCAAACCATATGATGATAATAATTAGATGATGATGATGATGATGACGATGATAAGGAGCAAAAAATAATCTTATCAAAACTTTTCATCTTCTAAATGATAATATTTCCTTAAATCATTTTTCTCATCATTTCTACTTCCTTTTCCGGTACAACTTATCAAAGTCTCACCTATGTTATCATTTAACCTTCAATAAGCAACTGATTGTCAAGTAAAATTAACACTAATTAATTTACTTCAAGGTTTTAATTGTTGATCAATTTGTCCATTCTAACAAAGGATTTTACACTTTCTTAAATCAATCTTAGTATTTCAATTGGATTAACAAGATAATATGATTCGCCATCAATGGATCAAGATTTGTAGTGAATTAACTAATTAGAAAATCATTTTCCAACAATTTAAATCAGAGGAATGAACAAATTATTCAGTTCTCATCGGTTTTGTATTAATTAAATTAAACTTTTAATTACTTACTTGAGACTGAGATTTGTTGTAATCGTTTAATTGATTCAATTGTTGATCCAACCAACTTATATGAACGTTTAAGTCTTAATCCATCGTTAATTGTTAGCTGTTTGGTTGATTCAGTTTGTTGATTATCAACCAATAAATTCACTAATGGTACTGATGAATTGTAATAATTTAACTCAATTAGCTGAGGTTGGTGTTGATGTTGATCATTTAAGGACAATTTAATTGCTGAATAAAAGTAACTTTGTAGTATTAATATCCAACTGGTAATCAACAGATTCATGATTTAGCTTTATAATTTAGTTAATTGTCATTAATCTAATGAAAAGTTGATTAATTGTCAAAATTCAGATTTAAAATGTTCACTTTTTTTATGCACAAAAACAGACAAACAAAAACACACGAAAAAAACAATACTCATGTTAACTGTTAATTGCTAATTGTTTGATTATGTTGAGCCTTCATCGTGATCATTTATTAATTGGTGCATTAGAAAGAGCAACAATTAACTTATATCACAATTTAGATTTTGTTAATGTTAATCAGTCAACTTACTTAGTTCAACTGATCAGTTAAACTTTAGTTTAATGTTGATACCAAACTTGATTGGGAAAAATTATCATTCCTCTTGCTGCCATCTATTGGTAACAATCAACGCTTCTCCTTATGATTACATTTAGAATCTATTGATTTAACTTGACATATGGGTTGATAAATTTTGATTCGTGCTTTTTTTTAATTGAATTGATATGATTGATTAACCTCCCTAATGTTAATCAAGCCAATTTAATCATGAATTTGGTCAAGGGTCATTCCATTATAAAAGATTGGACATTGAATGTTTTACAGAATGTGAATTGAATTAGTTAATTGTTATAATTAAAGTTTGAAATCATTAGTAAATTTACAATTAAGTTGATATTATTATAATGTTAATATAATATTTATATAAAAGCTACAAATTGAGTCTTTCTAAACAATTAAAATTAATTAGTTTATAATTTAGTTTGGCAGAAATTAAATTGTCAGAGTTTATCAATTGATAGATGTTAAATTAGATTGAAAATTATCAACAATCTAATCAACAATCAAATTGAACGTTTTTTGACAATTAATTTTACAATTACGTTTTGGCATCAAGTTTATTTTTCTTTGGTTATAAAATTATCACTATTTGTGTGTATATCCAATGTATTGAGATCCTGATTAATTGGAATGCAATTAAGACCAATTTAATTATTTCCTTTAAATAATTAAGAAATTGTTCCTCGATTATAATTCCCATTGAAACGTTGAGCTGATTGTTGTTGTTGTTGTTGTTGACAAATTAACATTGGTTGCCGTTCAACATAAGTTGCATAATTAGCAGCACTGATTGGAATTGCTATTGATTGGAAGAGATTAAAATTGAACAATTAGATGATTGTAATTGTGATTAGATTAATTGTTTTACCGGTTAATTTTTTCTCGTCCGTTGCTTCATGAAATCTCAATAATGTATTTGAATTGATTGTCCCCTGGGCACAAGGTAATTGTCCAGGTAGCGACATGTTTGGCCAAGATGCTTCAGAAGCACAACCAGAATCTGATGTTGTTTGAGTTACTGTTAAGTGATTAAATTTTAATTAGTATTTTGTTGATATCAAGTTAAGTTAATTGTTAGCTCAATTTACTTGGATAATTATAAACATGAACATCAGTACGTGGCTGTCGGGGAGTCCGTTTGACCGTCGCATATAAAGGTTCCGTTTGGTTTAATTGCACATGCTAATTGATTGAGTTATGAGAATAGAGGTTGGAGTAATTCCGAGTGAGAAAAAAAAGTTAATTGTTTTCATCAATCAAACGAATAGAAATTAAAATATTAGTCAATTTTTCCATCTCATACCTCGAGCCAAACTGTTAGTTCTGAAGATGTGGGTCACCGTTGTTGGACCTGCTTCATTTGTCGCTGTTATTTTAAGCTCATACGAAGTTCCAGGTCGAAGGTCAGAGAGAATAATATCTTTCTCATCTTTGGACGGAGGAAAGATTACGGGTGGATGAGAGAACCATTCCTTTTTCTTTTCTTCTTTGAACATTATCTCCATTCTATCGATCGGACATCCTCCATCGTGCCACGAATCTGAGTGTATAACTGCAGTAGAAGCGTTTATCGATAACAGGGAATGTTTATCGGGCGCAACGGGGGCTACAAAAGAAAATGAAGATTTAATAAACCAGAATTTAGATATTTAGCGATTAGATTTCTATTCAGTATAAAAATACTGACCCAGCCCTTCGGTTTTCACATAGATAATGTTACTTGGGTCACTTTTACAGATCTCATCAAAGGCCACGATATAAAATTGATACGAGGTTCCACAGCTTAAGGCTTCAGTTGTATGAGAATTGAACTTCCTGGAATCTCAAATGAATCCCATTTATCTGAACTTGAACGTTTCATGTAGACAATATAACCAGTTGGATTATCAGAATGAGCCTTAGTCTCAGAACTCCATGTGATTGTTATCGAGTTTGCAGTTTTAGTGGATAATTTTAGATTCGGAATTGAAGGTGGATCTGCAATAATGACGGATTATAAATAAATTAGAATCTAATAATTAATGGTTAACAAATTATCTTTCGAACCTTTTTCTAAGGTTTGAACTAGAATCTCTTCTGATGCTGGGCCAGAGCCTTTTGAGTTAAAAGCTTGGACGGTAATTGAATATTTAGTTGCTCGAGTAAGTCCATTGATTTGAGCTTCCATGTTAACGGAACGATCTTTGGCCTCCAGTGTTTTATAAGTGTATGAACCTGTTGTATCATCTCGAGTCTCTTTCACCTTATAACCAACATAATAGCCCATAATCGGCCCAAAGGTTAACTCTTTCTTTGGTGGTTTCCATGTAACTCTAACTGAAGATGAGCTCATTGGAATCGCTTTAATATGAAGCGGTGGTCCTCCTGGTGCTGAAATTAGAACCAAAAAGTCAGACACAATTAAAATAAGGAAGTTCTAAGACACATGAAGATCAAAATCGATAATAATTCGAATATAATACCTTCTTCATCAGTTCGAAAATGAACAACTTGACTTGGCTCACTTCGTCCAACAATTTGGACGTAATTTGGATTAACCATATCTCTTAGTAGCATTTCTTTCATAACATTATAAACAACAGTTTTATTTTTTACATAAGAAATGTACCAAAGTTTAATAGTGCCAGTGACAAATAACGGAAATTTCTTCAATCGAAGGTCATCATCCCATCCAACAGCAGTAGTTTCACATTCAAAATTTTCGAGCCGATCGAAAATGTCTTGTTTATTATCACCACTCAATCAATATATATTTAAATTTGGCTCAGACAAGAGATAATTTTGCATGATTGACTCTTCTTTAATTGATCTTTTCTTTTTATAATTTACTGTCAATCCTGAATATTTTAATTGCTCTCTTCTGAATAATTTTTAATTCCTTTGAGTTAATTTCCTACCCCACCTTGCTCTTTAAGCTCTTTGGGGGTATTCCATATAATCAATTACATCAAATAATACATTTGAATATGATATCAGAAACTTACCTATTTTTATCAGAAAATAAATCACAAATAATTCAAGACAAAATTTAATTCGAATTTGAACAATTAGAACACAAATAACTAATCACGGATCCATAGATCCTGCCTGGGTCGCCAAATGTAACGGAAGTTTCTAGCTTCACCATAAGAATTAAACAATCGTAACTAATTATTAATTATCACAATTTAATATAATATAAACTTTAAAGTTTAATGTTGATCAAGGAAAAAGGGAATGGGGACTGATCGAAACAATACAATGTATTACAATATAACGATGGTGATCATGATACTCTGATCATGATCACCTTCAGAAGATTCTTGAAGGTTCTAACAATAAAATAATCCAAAGACTATTGTGAAAAATCACTGATGACCCTGATACTCATGGTCATCATCATGGTAACAAAAAACACATAGTCAATAATTTTCATTACACTCTGATCCCCTTCCGGTTTAGCCAGTAGAATCAAATTTGGCGCTTTGACCGTAAGGGCTAATTCGGAAGGTAAAGTCAACATTGTTGCAATGTTACTTTATCAGTTTGGTTGTTGATTTGAAACAAATGGTTCAGGTCTCTAAACGTGCCGGCCTAATTCAAAGTCCAGCCCATTTTTCTCCTGCAGTAATTCTTCCAAGTAATTGAATTTTATACGCAATATCATCAAGTGTTTTGATAATAGTTAATGATAAATAAACGTTCATTTTATTTTTTATTGTTTTTCCACTGAATAAACGGCTTTATATAACATATAATGATATTGCCGGTGAAAAAATATTGGCGAGTAAAGTTTGTGCTAAAAGTGATTATAAGTATAGTGACGATATGTTAGAATGTGAAGTTTTCCCAGCTCATGTGGAGAGAGTTACTCTTGCTAATATTAGTCATATGAATGAGAAGAAAGAACGAAATGAGAAATGAGAAAAAATGAGAGAGAAAAGAACAAGAGGAAAAAGAAAGAAAGAAAAGAGAGAATGAAAAAGCTGATAGCTTGCTAGTCATCATTGATTCTCTTTTTGACGACTATGAGATGACTGATCTTTCATCTGTTCAATTCGAACCAACGTCATTAGTAGGGGCAAACCATCCGCTTCTGGCACAGGAAGGGGAAATACTACTTTCGGTTTCTTCCAGTCCCTCCCCCTCTAACCCCCCGCGCCTAAATTTATTCATGCATAACCAAAATTTACCGAAATTGTGATCAGCCAACCGTGAAAATTATGCAAAGGCTTAACCTTAAAAATGAAACCTTAAGCTAAAGCTAAATAATGAAGAGGTATAAAAAACAGTAAATTCATAATTAAAGCATAGTTTCATTTTGTATTCAGTATGGATAACAATGAAGTAATTTGTTAAACTATCCAGCTAACTCACGTGATGAAGTAAATCACTTTCTTCAAATTAAGAAAAAGAAAGGTGATTCATTTGTTTACCGAATCTTTATCAGGTCATGGATGCTACCACATGGAACTGGTGATGTTTTTGATGCACCAAACGTCAGTGCTAAGTGTTCATTGGAGAAATTTAAACAGCTTCTTATCGCTTTGGATGATCCTATGGGTTATCATTACATACGTGGACAACTTTTAAAGTCTTATATGATTGCTATACTGAAGAGTAAAGACTTCTCAGAAAAGTTTGAAGAAGCTTTGAACAAATATGGACAGAAGTAAAAAGTATAAAAGCCGACTTCACATCATAAAAAACCATAGTTTAGTTTTGTGAACACGATGGACAAGTCAGAAATTATTTTTAATTATACAAAATGTTCAAAGCCAATAACACAACATTATGTATTGGAAAGAAAGCAAAGCAATGACGGAACATGGACAAATCAGATGTGTATTTACTCTTTGTTCGTTCCTGGATTTCGAGATGATCTTCTTGATGGACCGACCTTCATGTTGAAGATTTCACTGAATTACGTCAAATGTAGCAGGTCAGTTTCTGAATTGAACAGGTTAGGAATCAAGTTATTAGTTTACGTTACTTCAACTGTAAATCTTAAATTTATCTAAGTTCCTCAAGTCCATCACCATGAACGAAATTTCTTTAACACAAGTACAATTGACAGTATTGGTTCAGGCGATCTTATCGCTCATCTCGGATACACCTGCCGATCGAAAATTATTGAACCGTGAATCTATCACACAATCATTTGCAACTGTCTTTGAAAACTTTGTCATTCCGGAAGATAATACAAGTCACCAACCACAGCAATCACAACCTCAGGAATTAGACAATCCAACTCCAGGACCATCAGAACTTCAACAATTTACTGAGATCCCGTTCCCTGCATCACCTACACCATTTCCATCACCACCTCCACCATACCAAGAATCAGCACCAAGTTATACACCACCACCTTATGATCCTTCACCTGCATTGGTTACAATTGATGCACTTGTTCCAGATGAACCAATTGATGTTGAACTCAATTAATACGAACCTGTTTTTGTAGTTGAATCGAGTGACTCGATGATGATGTCATAAATGATCCAGATGAATAACCTGTGAGTACATCACCAGCAAGTTCGATCGCATCATTTAACTTTTCATCACTGAGTATTAGTAGGAGAAGGATAAGGACACCACCAACCTCTGCAGTAAGACTATTCATGAACCGTCAAAGAGACAATTTAATCACATTGGTAGTTAGTGTTGTATTAGAAGATTTCGTTGCACCGAGAACAGTGGCCCAAGCAATCGACATCATTGATAGAATTCAATCGACTCAAAGGAACCTCAGAAATCTAAATCTCAATTCAATGTATCGATTGGGAATATGTTTAACGGTACATAGTGAAAGTTATAATACGCTGGGACAATGGATACAAGCCGTTAGGGTAAGATTCCATATAGGAAGGACATCGACCTTGTTCTATACAAGGCTAGCTAGAGTGATACAACGATTTCCCTGTATGAGACATATAGCAATTGAAAGAAGAGTCTTGGAAACTAATCTTTATTTATTTGAACACATAAATTTACTTAGGGAAGAAGAGAGTTTTGGCTAACCGAATAATTGAATTAAAAATTGCACATCTTGTTCAGTTTAAAATTTCCAATCTATTGATCTACAGGGTTATTCAGCTATTTTCGCCGATATTTTTTGCGATTTTCTCAGCAACTAAGAGTCAGAGAGACTCGCGACTTGAGTGATATGAGTTTGAGCGATACTCAATTGTCAAATACAAAGATCAAGGTCATTCAGGTCACGTGTAAAATAACGTGTTTCAAGGTCATTTGATGGTTATTCTATGATTTGCAACACTTATTCATCTTGGGTTAAGATTTTGAAGTTGTAACTGTCAATCTGAAGATATTGCAGTTTAATTAAAAAGGTACTGAGATTCTTTAATTAACAAAACTTATCATAACAGTTGACTCTAAAGACATAAGAGCCTGAAAATTTGATATTGGTGTTTTCACACATACTTTTTTATGGTAATGCCTTCAAATGATCTTGAAACGCGTTATTTTACACGTGACCTGAATGACCTCGCTGAGAAAATCGTCAAAAACATCTGTGAAAATAGCTGAATAGCCCTGTATTGCACTTAATTGTAACCCTAATAATAAATGCACAATTCAATTTTCTAATAAAATTAATTATTCCCTCAAAAAGTCAATGCTTTATAAGAGGCCTCAGTACAGTAGAGTAAAAAGAAAGAGAAAAGAAAGAGAGACAAGTTTGAAGTAACAAGTTGTTGACCTTGGGGTTTCCCTTGAAAAGAAAGAGAAAAAATAAGAGAAAAAGTAAAAGAGTTCTCTCATACTGTGTATAAGAAGGAAAGGGACAAAGAAAAGGAAGCGAAAAAGAAAAAGAAAGAGAAAACGGGAAAAAGTGTCCTCATTTGTGTAGTTCTACCTCTCCATTGTTAAAACAGCAGCAGCTTCCAAATCTCTTTTAAGTAACAGCATATCATTGAATATTGACTGGAAGTTGACAGACTCTTCTCAACATTTGGAGCCACAATGTAAAACTATTTCCAATTGATATATAAAACGCTTTCATCCTAACAAAGAAAATAAAACTAAAAAATATTGTTGATATCTCTCATTTAAGTCTGATGATGAATCCAAACAACCTCTCCATCAATGTCTCGATATTGTCATCGAGACCGATCGTCAGGAAATCGGCCAGGGCATTCGACAGTCTCTCCAACAATCGTTGCATTTCTAATAAAAAACGAAAAAAAATGACTAGTTGAAGAAAACAAGAAAAACTTCATGAAAAATTACTTCTACTCAGACTCAGAATCGGACGGGAAATTCCACCAGTGGAAGAGGTGACTAGAACTGAATTCGATGAATTTGCGTATGGAAGTAGTGGAGTAAGAGAATCACAATATCCTCGAATTTGTGAACAAACACAAGATCTCAAATCATTTCAGGTCAACAATAAATTGATGAAACGATTTAAATTAGTGATCACGCCATCTATAGCTGCAGTCATTTCACCATCATCTCCTTCTTGATCATCTGTTGATGAGATCGTGTTCTCACTCATGCGTTGTAGTCTTGAAGGGAGCCACGATAATTTGAATACGACGGTTAGATAAAAAGCGGAAACAGCCATGAGTGAGATGATGGAGATAATTGTAATTTTTTCCGCTCTCTT